GAAGAAAGGAAGAAAGGAAGGAAGGAAGGATGCCAATAAAAATAATTATAAATGAATGAACGACAGAATTGTAAAAAGAAAATCACAAAAGCTATATAAAGATCTGTACTAAAATACCTTTGTCAACGAAACGGATGTCGATGGATTCTGCGCGTCGCTTGCGACAGGCGAAAGTACTAAAACAAACAGTTATTGATTAAGCTTTTTATCAATTTTATTATTAATTTTCAAATCATTTCAACTCCCTCTAGACGGTTCCATCTCTTCCCTACTTCTTAGGAATGATGGCTCTACTGGACCTCCAAAACTCCAGCCATGGCCCTTTGCACTGCGCGGGAAAAATACATTAGGATTATAACTATATTAGTCCGGTGATTGGCTTATCTCACAACTCAATGTCAAAGCGCCTTTGATTATATTTACGTAGAAAGGGCGCTATATAAGTCATCAAATCATCATCATATGATGAAATATATTAATGTCAAGGCAAGTTAAGGTCTAGAGAAGTAGATATGAGATGATAAATAAATTTCAGGATTGATGACACCAAGCAATTTAGCCTAAATTATTCGGGCAATTTGTATAGGAAATCGCTCGATCTCGAGTACAATTTGGTGTTTATAGGTACAAGTGATGCTTTGAAAGTTTTCCAAATCAATGGCGGCCATCACTGAATTCGAGGTACGTAAGAATATGAAAGATTAAGAAAAATGAAGTCAATGAATAAATATCACCTGAAGTTCTGTCATTCAGTTAATTCATGCCTTGAGGGTTAAAAGGCAAAGAACAGCTATCCTCCATTATTCTATTGGAGTGCTTCTGCAATGTTAAAGTGCTACTCTGACGAAAATCGCTCAAACTTGGATTCAGCTGAAACTTCCTAGTAATACTCTTTAAAGGTCCAATAATCACTGTATGAAGTGTTTTCTCGATATTCAGGACGAAAGTATGATATTTTTACGATTATTTTTTGGAGTCTGTGACGTCATACACTCAACATCAAACATTGCTACATATATTTCTTCGTATATAAATCCTTAATTTATTTTATTCCTATGAAGCCCAAAAGGGTGGCTAATGTGCTTATTTCACATTACTTGTGACTATAATTTATATTTGAGGGTGTTTGGGTATTTCTTTCTCCCTTTCCACTGATATTTTGATCATAAACTACAAAGAAATGTAGGGAACGATGTTTGATGTTGAGTGTATGACGTCACAGAYTCCAAAAAATAATCGTAAAAATATCATACTTTCGTCCTGAATATCGAGAAAACACTTCATACAGTGATTATTGGACCTTTAAAGAGTATTCTTAGGAAGTTTCAGCTGAGTCCAAGTTTGAGCGATTTTCGTCAGAGTAGCACTTTAACAAACTATTGACATTTGCTTGCTTTTATTTGCTCTTATCTGGCACTAGTCCTAATTTTCCCGCATAATTTTTGCTCTCAAATTAACTAAAGCATTACTAGCAGGCGAGCCAAAAAGTGACCTATCTTCGACCTGTAAACTATCACTATATATTCGTTACAATTTATATAAATATGGTATTTCTGGAATTCAGCTGATAAAAGTCTTTATTTCAAATCTCATTATCCAAAACACTAAATGATTCTTTAATTGGAGTGAAGCCATTTAATTAACCCGTGAATTATAAATAGAGGTTATCACATGTAAAGAGCTTGATATCGTTTCTATTCACGAGTTTTCATGTCATATCGCGAACGAGCGAGTCTGCGAGTGAATGGTCGCTCCTCAAATCCGAAAAAAAAAATCGACAGAGAGAGAACTGGACCGAGTTATAGAATCAATTTCATTTGAGACAAGAAAACACACGTGTAAGACCTCMACCTTTTTATCTTCACAAGAAAATTTTTTCTTAACTCAGTATGAGTTTTCACCGGAGGTTTCAATGCTGGTGGTCATTCACCAAAGTAATTGGAAGCGCGCAATGAGACGACTAGCTTAGCACGTTGGTAAATAGTCTACCGGACAAAGACACCACATGGGCTTGTTTTCCTGTTCTTGACTTTCTGTCTCTGATTTTCTGCTTAAACATTATATTATTATCTATTTTATTGAGCTAAGTAGTTATTAAAGTATTTCAAAGGTACGAGAAAAAAAAAAAAAAAAAAAAAAAAAAAAAAAAAAAAAAAAAAAGAGAAAAGAAAAAGAAATTTGTTACAAAAAAAGTATGATGGGAGGCTTGCCTGCTTATAATGGCAATTAGAACTCCCGCTAACATAAGCATTCGTAAAACTCTCGTGCTTTGAAATACTTAACGACAGCGCCAAAAGTGGACTTGCCGCTGAGTTTTCATAAGGAGATTATGTTAAATAATTTATGCTCAACATCGAAGTTAAAGAGTTTTAGTTTCTAATGAATTCATAAATCCTTTCACTCCCTTTCACTGGAATGTAAATTAACGATACACGATCGAGAAGATACATTAGAGGGTAAATTCATAAAACTAGGCGACTGATAAGACTTTTCCGGAATGAAGGGCGGCAGGCGTACTTAGTGGTAGATATGAGTATGTGGACCGCGTGGTAGATAGGTAAATAGCTATATAGATGCTTTATTTAGGTAGTTCACTTCACTCTCCCTTGACTTTGAATTTCTTAAGCTTCCGGTTAAAGATAATTTAGGCATGAGAAATTTAAGACGTGTGTTTTTATGAACGAAAATTACAAAAACAACGAGAGAAAATTACTGGATGGAGTGTGAGCATTTGAGTGGCAGGTATGGCGCAGTAGTCTACCTTTCGCCTTTCACCGCTCTGGTCCGGGTTCGAGCCTCGGTTCATATGTGAGTTTAGTGAGTTGAGGGATTTTCCACCCTTCGTAAAAAATGACATGTGAGTTGAGTGATGTATGTACTTATTCCAAACAAATTGATTCACCTGAAAATCTATAAAGCTGAGACCGGCAAGGATTATGGGTAGATACATTTTACATGTTTCAACCGCTTGATAACTATTGATGGACTCGAGATCTTTTACCCGTTACAAATTCCACCTCTTCTGAGCATCCTCAAGCTGCAGTTTGTATCAAAGGCTTTACTTTACTTTACTCAACTTTCTGGGTTTTTGGTTTTTGACTAACGTTATTGAAATCAGTATGTCGTAAATATAGAATGTAGTGGTAGTGCGTGTGGAGCAACTTACTGTGAACCTCACGGAAGATCTCCGTATGAGGAGTGATGATTGTAAATTTTTTTTTTCATATATAATTTCTTATCAGAACTGGACTCTAATCCAACTACGTACCGCATCCGAAGAGCCGAGTTGCGAGCTTTATTCTACATAATGCAAATAATATCGAATGCATGGTGAGATGTATTTATTTCGTGTACAGGGAAATCAGCGTAAAAAAAGGCTACTAGCAAGGAGAATCTGGACAAAAATTATTTATGACTTTTATTAGGAGTCGCAGACGTCACGGACTGCAGGGTATTAGATGCGTCTGAGTAGTTCTGATGAGTGTTTGATTACTAATCAAGGTTCGACCTAGGTTCCACCTTTCCCGCCAGACTCAGTAAAGAGGAGTTTTTTTAGAATATCGGGATTCTTGTGGACGCGCGGAAATTTTCATTCCGTTCCAATCTCCGCTCGTCCACAGGAATCGTAACTCGGTATTCTAAACACTCGTTTTAACTGATTCTGAAAGTGGCCCGGAAAGTGGGACCRCTCGCAGTCTAGTTGTTGGGGGTAAAGGGATAAAACTGATGGGACAAAGAAAATAGCCAAGAGAAAACACGACAAACAAACCGTTAGTCACTTTATGAAAGATGGTACCTCTCGTAGTCTAACCCCTAACACACTGTCTAACACACACCATGGATTTGGCATGACATACTATTAGTAATCAAATACTCAACAGAATACTCGACTCATCTAATACCCTGCGGTCCGTGATGTCTGCGATTCCTAATAAAAGTCTGTCCAAATTCTTTGCTAGTAGTCTTTTTTACACTGATTTCCCTGTACACGAAATAAATACATCTCACCATGCATACGATATTATTTGCATTATGTAGGATAAAGGATAAAGCATAATACTAACATACTAACAAATCACTCATGATTGTAAGCTGCACGGCTGCTACTAGCGCCTTAATATGCAGCCCGTAAAGTCCTCCACTGCATGATCTTGTAAAGCGCCAGTGAGCTCCTGGAAATGGCGCTATATAAATTCATCCCTTTACACTTAATACAAGTAGTATTCAGAACCATGATGTGGTGATACACGTACTTTGTGATCATTGATTGAAATGTCTGCTTTCTTTCCGAGTTATCGGTCAACATGTAACTCAAAATAGACCTCTTTACATTGGGCATAATGTTTTGCCCATTGTAGACCACGTCTTTGTCTGAGTTGTATCCATATTCATGTGTCTTCTCTTGTGCAACCGTTAAACGGGAAAATCWCTCTTGTCAGACATAGAAAATTAACCATGTATACAAACTTACCCTGCATTTTGATCGCAGCACTTGTCCCTTTTCCCGATGGGGTCCTCAAATGCAACTAAGGGATCGATCGAGATGGCTCCTTTTATTGCACATTAAATGAACAATGACGCACGCATCGGTCATTTGAGCTATACGCTAATTTATGTTTTCTTTTTTTTTAACGCGCAACCCAAAAAAAAACTACACTCTATAGGAATAATCACGCTTCGGTTATGTGAGCTAGCAATGGTCTTATTTATGCTAACTATCGCGCCCGGAAAAAAAGATTATATTTATTTTTATTAGCAAATGGTCTTTAGAGAAACTAAGATGTAAGAAGACGAAAATAACAGACGACACTTCGTAAACTGTGGTTTTTACTATATATGTAGTTCGTTTCTCTCTTTGTATTTCTGAAGATGGCAAACGTCAGTTTACGAAGCGTCGTCTGTTATTTTCATATCATTTTATATAATATTAAATATTTTATATTTGAAGAAATATTTTAAAATTTATTTGTATATTTTCGATACGCAACTCATAAAACGTTTTACTATATATAAATAATCACGCACAGCTTTATGGGAGCTTGTTTATTATAATAATGGCGCAAATTGAATAAGAGTTAAAATATGTTAATTTACTTTTCGTCTTGTCCTTGCGGAACTCAGAAAACTCACGAAAGCTAACGCACGTGAAGTTATTTTTACTCTTAGCCATACACTTAATAGTGTTTCCTCAAGAGACACGATTCAAATTTAAAGAGTGTTAAGTAAATATCTAAGGATGAAAGAGAGTGCCAATGTCAACCAAAATTTAAGAAAAAAAGAGAATTAAGAAGCGCGAGTTAATTCAAAACAGAAATTGTAAGAAGTGCAAGCTGAAAAACATTTTCCCCCCAGATTTTTCACAGATTTTCATTTTTGCTAGCTATAATTCTATAACTAATTTTCAAAGATATTGAATACCGGTATGGGCTAATATTTCTTCACAATTATTCCCAATGATGATAATAATTTCTGAATGCTTACTACATAGTAAACGCATTGAAGATATCTGGTTAACTTATATATAGTATTCTGGGTTTTTGTGGTCTGGCCTGCTATTCGCAATCAATGCATGATTTCCAGCACACAAATCAATCCCTACCAAAATGAAATAACCTAGCTTTACCCTTACTTCAGATCATCAGCACAGACAGGGACTAGGGGGTGAAGGGTGTCACGTAAACAGCAGCTCCTTAGGTTACCGGGCTAATAATTTACAAGACAAATTACAAACTTATTTATTCGCAAGTAAAAAGGTACACGGTATTATAAAGCTTACTGAACAAATTAATAAAGTCTATTTCTTTTTCATTTTACTGAACAAAAAGTGCGCGAAAATTTAAAAAATTAGTAGTGTTATATATCAAAGGATGGATATGCAAAAACAGATCAGTTTTATATTACTGATTAACAGGTGAATCCATTTATTTTGTACAGTGATCAGTACGCGGAAGATTACTGGTACTGCGTCTTCAGGTAAATCCATTTATTTTGTACAGTGATCAGTGCGCGGTAGAATACTGATACTGTGCCCTCATGTAAATCCATTTATTTTGTACAGTGATCAGTGCGCGGTAGATTACTGGTACTGTGACTTCAGGTAAATCCATTTATTTTGTACAGTGATCAGTGCGCGGTAGAATACTGATACTGTGCCCTCATGTAAATCCATTTATTTCGTACAGTGATCAGTGCGCGGTAGATTACTGGTACTGTGTCTTCAGGTAAATCCATTTATTTTGTACAGTGATCAGTACGCGGTAGATTACTGGTGCTGTGACTTCAGGTAAATCCATTTATTTTGTACAGTGATCAGTGCGCGGTAGATTACTGATACTGTGTCCTTAGGTAAATCCATTTATTTTGTACAGTGAT